CGGCGCAATGTGGACGCCAACCAATGGACGCCAACCAAACACGCCCTTATTGCCAGGTCATACAGGTAAAACATAAATAATAATAACAATAACAATAAAAAATTAGCTCATAATACCAAGCAACCTCAATAATTCACAGTACAAAGCATCCTAATTTTGAATTTGTTAACATCCCTTCGCATCAGAGAAGACATAAACCCATCATCAATCATCAGCAAAAGTAGCGCTACTCACGATACGCTCGGTGGCGCCGACGGGGCCCTCGAGGATGCGGACCCTGGCCTTGGTCTCCTCGACGAGGCGCTTGATGAGCTCGCCCTTCCGTCCGATTATGCTTCCAACCTTGAGCACTGGCACCACCAGCCGGAACACGCTGTCCCCGGGCCACCCGGGCCACCTCTTCGCGGCCGCCGAGGCCTCCTCCATCGCGGCGGCGTCGGCCTCCTCGGCGACCTGCGGTGGCAACGAAGCCGGCGCCACGACCTCAGCTGCGGTGACGGCGGCGGCGGATGGTTCGGCCATGACGGTGGCGGTACGGTGGAGGGGGCTAGGGTTTGGGTCGCGGGGCGTGGGGCTGGGGAAGGCGTCGCGAGTCGCGAGCCTCGGCAAGTGGAGGGGACTGGGCTACAGGAGGAGAAGGGGAGCACGAGATCTGCCCCTGGGCGGGTGGGCTCGCGATTTGGTTTCTCACGGGCTCGACTCGTGCCCACGGTTAGATGGGCCGGTATTAGAGGCAGAAAAAAAGTGCTCCTGACCTCCTATATTGACCTGTTGTTGTGGTCCCATTAACCTCCTTTTTCTAACTATAATCTCTGATATTTTAATTACTTCAACTATTGTAACCGGTTTTTTTCTTCTTACATGATTTTCAAGGCAGTTTAATTTAACGTGGTGCCACGCTAGACGTCTTACTTGGTGCCACATCAGTCATGAGGGAGGTAAATCGGATTACGTTGATAGTTCAAGAGTCAAATAGACTTTACCAAAAAAAAGTTATAGAAATAAATCTTCAAAAACTACCCAAAAATATTTTTTGAAAAATATGGAATTAAAAATTGCAAAATCTAGTTTACTCTTAGAAATTCGTAGCAAATTTATTTGTGCCCAGGAAAATATGAAAACTATATATTTGGGTTTTTTTATAAAATCATGCTCTATATTATCGTGCATAGATTAGAATTATTTGGCTCTTATATGGTCTTATTTCAATGTTTATTTACTAGTATATGCTCTTGCTATCTATTGGCCCCGTTCGCCTTGCTGAAAAAACAAGCCGAAAAACTGTTCCGGCTGATTTGTTATGAGAGAAAAATATTGTTCCGGCTGAAAAAACAAGTTGAAAAGTCCGGATTATAAGAGAAGCGAACAGGGCCATTGTGATTAGTCTATGTTCATAAATCATACTAAGTAGAAATTCAAGCACCATTCTTTTTTTTCATATTTGGAGATAATCCAGTCTCTATTCTACGATTGGTGATAAGAGTAAAAGCACGTGGCTGGTGAATCATGTAACGATAACTCAACGGACGATTAAAGGCTTTGCTAAGTAACTGTGGGTATTGATCTAGATGACAATTACCGCATAATACCTACCAAGGGTAATAGAAAAAAAATTATTTACTTAGTTTGGAAAATAGGCAAATATTAGACAACATACCTTGCAATAAGATGTTTTAACAAAAAAATATCCTTTAATAAGATGTATTAGCCAAAATATCTTGCAATTAATGCGTTAATGTGGCACCTTAACATGTTGCGTATATATGTGCATTTTTTCTGAACGAAATACTAGCAATTTTTTACTCAATATATGTAGGGATTTGACATATACAATTCAATACATTCGCTAAAACTTCACTATGAACTAGTACCTATTGATCTGATTCAATAACCATGTAGCAAGAATAGCGCATGTAATTCAATTGGACTTGCTCATGACGCATGAGGGCATATTGCCTGCTTTAGCTGCCACCATATGCTCTTCTCTAGCCTTGATGATAATACTACCCCATCCACCATATCCTATCGCTGTTCCTTTGCGCTGCACCGTGGGAAGAAAAGATGCCGTCAGATGGAATTGGAAAGGAGCCGGATTTTTACCTTCCTGTTTTTTTGTTTGCTGTTTTTTTCTCTTTGTTTCCAAAGTATTTTAATTATTCAACTATTTCATCTATTCCCCCAAAAAAATAAAGGTTATGATTCATTCAATCTCGTACCTCGTAAGTGATAATTAGAGTACATGGAGAAAAATACATCTCCATATCACAAGGAGCTGCCCGATCAGGCGTTGTTCGAAGAAGGCGTTTGCGCCGCCGTTGTCGCCCTCGCCCTCCAAGAAGGGGGCAATGCGTGTGCTTTTCCCTGGTAGGCGGCGCCGCCGCGAGCCGGCCGAGAGTGGCGTGTAGGCCACTAGAGATCCTTGTATTTGGTCGCTCAACAGTATGGCCGTATAGTCCTTTTTTGTAATATTGCTGGTTCGTTTGTCGCACGGTCAATCTTGCTTGTGTCTCACTAGTGAGATTGTGCCGATTTGTAACGTTTAAAACTCCTGCCTTCTTAATAAAATACGGGTTAGACCCGATCGCAAAAGATATCACAAGGAAACGGTCAGCATTTGAGAACCTTTTTCTAGAAGGAAGAAAGCAACACAGGGAATCATCAGTGTCCCCAAATGGTTTACTTCCTATGATTCTCTTAGGCTATAGATTCCCCTGCATGGGGGTAGGAATCACAAGCCAACGAACAGTATTTTTCTCTCACAACAAATCAGCCAACGATACTTTCAGTCATGGCTTATCAGCCAAACGAACAGGCAAAAGTTCATATGCCACTGGCTTTACTTTGGCACCACTTGATTGAGTGCCCACATGCCAATTCCCAAAACCCATCTGGAAATACAGCAACTCAGCAAGCTTCTTCAGACTTCATCCCAGTGTATGCAGGTATCCACCAATCGGAATAGAGGGACTTCAGTTTTTTCTTTATACTCTCTCTCCAACTTGCCTGTTTCGTTTACCCTTCGCTAGTTTTATTACAAGGAGTATCTGGGCTCACATTTCAGCGACAGACTGCAGAGGCTGAGACAAAGTAAACTCAGGAGAATGAAAAGAAACCTACCACCACACAATTTTCAGACAGCATATGCATGGCCGGATGCACAGCTGTTGTGCCAACAACTGGCTTAATTATATGTATAGAACACTACATTCGAACCTTTTCGTCTTGATGAAGATTTCAAATGTGCAGTAGAGGGACTCTCATTTGCTGCTATCAATTCTCATCTGACTTTTTCAAGTCTCCTCGCTGCTCCCTCGTGCTCGCTCGCTTATCCTGCCCTGCCTCACCGGACACCCACCATTGGCAGCTGCACTGCGGAACTTCAACTTCCCGTGGCCTTGGCCCTCCCTCTCCCTCTCCTTCCTTCCATCCGTCCATGTTCTTGGCCAGCTCACCGCATTAGTTATATTGCGACGCTACAGCGCAAAAGGTGGCGCACGGCGGCAAGGTGCTTGCATTGCCCCCTCCACAACCGCAAGCAAGCCCTACATCTACATGCCCACCACGTTCCGATCCTTGTTCTTTACTGGCGTCTCTCTGCGTTCGCATCTACAGGACCGACGACTACTGTTCCGGATCGATCGAGTGAGGAGTCTCGTGTCCTGCTCACCGCACCCAACTGCGACTCATGCATGTTGCTTGCACCGTGCCTCCACGAAAGGTCTCACATGGATTGGCAATCAGATTTTACTTTTGCTCTCTTTTGAAGGCACCAGACACAGATTTAAGATTATTACTGGCATCTCATCAGTCACTTGTCCTCCTACAGAAATCGGAGGTAAAATTTGTCACCATTTACTGGTGTTCCTGGTCTCTTGGAGCAAATCCTGGAGCATAGTTACAGCCTGTTCTGATCTGAAGATAACTAACTGAATTACGTTTAAAAAAAACATAAAGGAACAAGAGGGCAAAACTTGATGCTTTCCTTTTTTGTTACGCAACAAACCATGACGCCATCGCTTGTTCTAGTGATCTTTCCTTTCCACAATGGTCCACTATGGTGTGGTTTAGTTCCTCCCCTAAAGTTTAGTCCCCATCCTATAAAATGTTGGATACATGCATGGAGTATTAAATATAGACTAAAAATAATTAATTGTACAAATTATGACTAATTTGCGAGACAATTTTTTTAAGCCTAATTAGTCCATGATTTGACAATGTGGTGCTACAGTAAATCTGTGCTAATGACGGATTAATTATGTTTAATAAATTCGTCTCGCGAGGTACTGAGGACTTCTGTAATTTGTTTTATTATTACTATCCGAACACTTCCATATGACACCTCGAGTGATACCCCTAAACTTTAGCCCCTGGATTTAAACAGGCCTGTATATTTCTGACTGAAACTTCCGCTGACGCTCTGCAGTTTCAACCGCTCGATCTGTGCATTCATTCAGAGGTCTCTCAGGTTAATGAGAAGTAACTGAACGCACGTATTCTTCCTGTTCCGACGACGCACACACAGTTTTGGGATGGACAGCCGAGAAACATGCCATGTTCTGACTAATAATCACCCGTTTGCCTCCACCATCCCACGATGTCCAATCCGAATTTACGTGGCGCTCTGCTCTCCCGCTCCCGCTGCGGCGTGCGGCGGCGAATAATCTCCACTGACTGGAGTAATTAGGCGGGAAGAAAAAGGAAAAGAGAGACGACAGGAGACAAGCAGTGTGCTGTGACTCACATGCGCACGCACAGCACAGGCGAGCACCCACCGGACCGGAATAACAATCGCCGATCGAACCGAATCCCGAGCCGATCCATCCATTTCTATTGATCCATGCATGATAAGTCGAACAATGGCAAAAATCCCGAGAATCCTGACCCCTAACCAACTACACACCAACACCTATGTACCAAGAACAGCAGCAGCATGAAGGAAGATGAAGACGAATTGACACCACCAGCACCAGGACAAAAAAGAAAACGGCTCCATCGATCGATCAGACGGTGAGCTGCGGCTGACTGTGACGGTGGCAGCCGGCCGCTGCTGCTGCGACCGCGCCGGCGGGGTCGTCGTGGTGGTGATCGGACGTGCCGGCGGCGGTGTAGCAGTGGTGCAGCCGGGGCGCCTCGACGGGCGTGTCCAGGTAGGCCATCTCGCTCTGGAGCACGGCGCAGTAGGAGGCGAAGGCGGCGGGCGTGACGTTGAGGTCGAAGGCGATGCCGAAGAGGAAGTCCACCTCCAGGTAGTTCATCTCCACCAGGCTGATGCCGCCCACCCGCGCGAAGTAGGCGTTGTTGTAGCATCTGCAACCATGGCAACCATCACCACCAGCAAATTTTGTTTTTTCAGATGAAGCTAGTACAAACAAAACAAGAGAGCACACACAGACAGACAATGGCGTATCGAAGCGACAAACTATGGACCCGTTTCGTTTTGGAACACACGACACGAATCGTAGGAGTATATTTTTTTACCAACACAATGGATAAAAATTCACGCATTTCAGCTGTAGAACCTGTAGTATGTAGCTTGTTTTCGAAGGCGATGTTAGTAGTATAAGACAGACAGGTTGGGTAGGACAACAAGGTGAATGTCCTTTGGTAAGAGGGGTGGATCGGCAGGCACACTGCTGCGCTGTGAGTGTGCTGTGGGCGCATCAGCCTCGGGGTTCGACAACTGTCCTTGTGACCAACCCAATGGCTTGTCTTTGATGCAATGCCAGTTGGAAATAATGACAGAGAAGAAAAGGTTATCCAGATCGATCTGGGGCCCATGTGCATTCCAATTCCAGCCCTGATAGGTGGCTGCACACAGTCATACGAGTGTGCCAATCACGCCAACGCCGGAGGGGGATCATCGCCAGAGTCGGATTCAAATAAAGGCCAGACGGAAAACAAGCCAAGCAAACGAAAACTGTAGTTACCGAATGACCCCGATCATGCATTTTCGAAGCTCACCTATCTGACGACCATGACCCTGAATTTCTAGTTGGACATAATGTACTACATGTCGTTTTCAGAACAAATCGTTTCCGAATTCTGAAGTCAACAGCTGTGCGGAATTCAACTTGATCAACAGTTGTGATGAGGCACTACTATGTTTTTAATTTTGTTTCCGTATTTTGAAGTCAACAGCTGAGCAGAATTCAACTTGATCCACTGTACTTTTTTCCTGTAAATTTTGCATTTAATTGATCCATGCTTATCGTGGGCTTTTTTTCTCTTATAATATTATTTTTTTTGCATTTAATCAGCTATGCTTATCTGGTTTATTTTTTTAGCGAATCGAACGGAGCCATTCTGTATCGCTACTAGTGAATTCTGGTCGTCCTTCCTAACGATCGCTAGCAGTTTACCAACGCCAAAACAAAATGAAATGAAAGGGAGCTAGTAGGCAGCACGAGCACGTACATGTCGTCGACGAACTTGACGGCGGTGAGGACGGAGGTGATGAGGAGTCGGTGGACGTTGAAGGAGTCGACGGCGAGCGCGGGGCGGCGCCGCAGGAAGCGGTCGAGGTAGATGTAGGCGACGACGTAGCAGGACGGGCTGCAGCTGGCGAAGCGGAAGATGCGCTCCAGGTAGCCGCCGATGGAGATGGCCGGCTTGGTGAGCCCCTGGAACGCCGAAACCGGGCGCGGGCGGCCAGCCGCAGCCGCCGGCGCCGCCACCACCGCGCTGCCCTCCGCTGCCGCGGCGTCGTTGCGCTCCGCCACCCGCTGCAGCAGCGCCGACAGGATGGAGACCACCCGCGGCACCGCCGCCGCCTTCTGCCACCTGACCCCCCGTCGTCATGGATGGATCGATCGGAATTCAGATGGTGAGTTCTTGGCTGCTGCTGCTGCTTCTTGATACTAGTAGATTGCTAGTGGCCGCCTGCTTGCCTTGGGACTTCTTGGGACTTTGGAGCTGGAGGGAGGAGAGGTGATGGTGGTGGTTATAAAGGGTGGGAGGGAAAACGCTAGGAAAGGCCGCCGTCGTAAAAAAAGAAGAAGAAGAAGAAGAAAAGATTTGAGCTTTGCAAGTTGGCATGATTAGCCAGCCAACCAATCCCTCCCCCTGTCATGGCCTCATGGATGATAGAAGGTCACTTTCTTTTTTCACCTCTGCCCTACGTACTGTGCTGCAGATGGAGGATTTGTCGGCTGCCAGCAGAGAGCAGACGGGTACTGCTAGAGTCGTAGCGGTGCAGTAATAAAGCCTGGCAGCAGGCCCTCTGGTATCCATGGAGTTGGATCGCGTGTCAGGTTGCCTGGATGGACGATGGAGAGTGATGGACAGGTCTCGTGGCCTCCACGACCCGGCGCATCCGAAGCTCGCTCTGAATGTCGCTGTTACAGAGAGATGTGAACGGAGAAGACGGCAGTTTCAGAGTTGGCTAGCCAGCCCTGCCTGATGACGATGTCTGTTTCCATGTCATTTCCACAGCTGTTAGTGTGTTACTGTTAGGTAAGTAGGCAGTGAGTAGTTTCGGCGACAATTAGGTGTTCCGCAGTAGTAGTAGTAGTTTCGGCGGCCAGGTACCGTCGGTGTCTGTGCAATTTCTCTTTTTTTTTTTCACACGCCCATCTCGTGCGTCCTAGCATGGCTGGTGGCTGCCAAACATTTTCCGTGCGCGGCTCACCGCCGGGTTCAGTGTCCCACTCCTAGCAGTGTACTTGTGTCTGCCCTTGATGACGAAGTGCTTCAGACGGTACAACGTTTTCCTAACGGATTTCGTGTTGAATTGAACAGACAGCAGGTCCCAGTCAGTGATCAGTTAGTCAACTCGGCGTGCGGTAAAATCAGAGAAGGGCTCCGATCCTCTGCAGCTGTCGTCAGCAGTGACAGATAAATAATGCATGGACAAGTGTAAAGAGCACATTTGAAATGGCAGTGTGGATCGAGAGTACAGTGACATGATTATTCATCAGGAGGAAAAAATTAAAGAAAAGCCAGGGCAGGAAGGAAAGGAAGCACGCGAATATGACATGCCTGTGTGGAATACAGACATGCCTGTGTGGAACAGACATCTGATGACTTAAAAGCGTTCGTTTGTATTTGATAAACTTTGTCAGATCAGTCACGCTCACGCCGGGACGGACGATATTTAACGACGTGCTTGCTGCCCTGGCGTCACGCTCACGCCGGGACGGACAACGCCATGCCCTGGCGGTCATGCCAACGCCATGCCGCGCAACAGTACGGCGCGTGCATGCAGCAGTAACATGCACGCTGTTCAGCACGTCGCCGGGCGAGAGCGTCCACCATCCACGCATGTGGCAGTTGCCTTGCCTGCCTGCACCATCACACCAAGCAACGGAGAGCGAAAGTGTTGGTCCGATACTCCGATCCCTTCACATTCACTTGTTAAAGAGAAGCTGCAGATGGATAGGTGGAATGGAACCAGCCTAGCTTAGCTAGCTAAAACACTTGTTAAAGATTACTGATAGTAGCTGTACGCAGAGGACTCTCTCTCTAAGACGTACGTCTGAGGAGGAGGAATACGCCCACAGGAGAGAGAGAGAGAGAGAGAGAGCACATGATAGACACCTTGGCTTGGCACGTTGCTGCAATCCAAGAAGCGTTGTTGGGTTCATGTGTCAGCTCCTCTTCGCTGCAATTGTCTGCTTGCCCCGGAACGGGCCTTTCCGGATTTAATAGCCGATTTTATCGGATCCGTGGTCCACCATCCCCCGCTGCCTGATCCATGCATCATGTGGCTAGGAGAATAGTTTAATTATCCCGCCACTAATCAAAAGCCTGCCTCTGGTAGTTTCCTCACATAAACTCCTCCTCCTCCGTACTCACCATCTTGCAATTGCGCGCGCAAAAGCCGGCCTGATCCATGCAGATGCATGCTAGCTGCCTGTACTGTACTAGTACATCATATCCTTGCCTGTGCGCAGGGCCTCAGATGCTAATCATCGATCACATGCAACAGAGGCATCTGTTGTTTAATTAATTAATTGTGTCGTTTTGTTTTTCTAATTAAAGATGGAGAAAGAGCTAGCGAGAGAGGAACGTACTGGAGTAGCGTGTGCATCGCATGACACGAGATCCCATCTATGTGCATGCTCCTGCCAGGCAAATATAGCAGCAGCAGCAGCTAGCTAGCGATTGTTCAGTTTGCAGCAGCACATCATCCTATATATCATGAGCAGGGCAGGGGCTGAGCCGCTGTGGGGCAGGGGCCGAGGGACAGGCGGACAGCATCTAGTGTGCCGGCCGCGTGCGAAAGCCACGCTTAGTTCTGCTCGGCTCGGTTGCTTGATGGTCGCTTGGCTGTGTTTTAGCTGACCGACGGCGATCAGCTGGCCAAACTTTACCGCGAGGATGCCAATGCCAGCGTGCATACATGCGAATATGCGGTGGCAATCGGCACGCACAAGTCTTATCTGTCACCACAATGGCGTCCCGGAGTGAAGGAGTCAAGGAGCCCACAGCCCAGCAGGCAGCAGACCAATTCGTTCTCGTCGGCTGCTTGGCGCCAGTTGCCGGTGAGCAAGCGATGACAGAGTCCCGCCCAGCGAGCGATTGGGTTGGAGTTGGCACCAGCGAGCCAAAAAAACCTAGCCCGACCCAACTATTCTATTCTAGGCCCAATGGACAGACTGGGATAAGCAAGCTTCGCTTCGAGCCTCCAAGGAAAAACTCCACGTTACCTCTCTCAACTTTCGTAAAACTTCGCTTTTTTCTTCCTGAACTCCAAAACCGGACAAAATACATTCCTCGACTTTTAAAACCGTTCATCTCTTACCTCCCTGACCAGGTTATAAGCGGTTTTGAAGACGGTTTTGTCTTATTTATTTATTTATTTTGGTTGAATCTTTAAAAAATCATAGTAAATGATAGAAAAATTATAAAATAGAAAATCCAATTTTGTTGGACTCCACATGAGTAGATCTACACAATGAACATATAATATGGTATGCTTTAGTACAAAGTTTTTGTTGTAGCTTTAGATCTATACTTTTCTGTAATTAAATGAAATAAATCATAGCTGCAGTTTCTATGGTCCAATTATGGTGAAATTTTTATGGTGGGCTAATTATTGTATGCTTAAACCATGGTAAAAATTTCATACTCATTGGATCATGTATAACTTAGTTATAGATTTTATTTACATTTATGCTTATTAAATATAAATAAATCTATAACTAAGCTATACATGATCCAATGAGTATGAAATTTTTACTACAGTTCAATCATACAATAATTAGCCCACCATAAAAATTTCATCACAATTGAACCATAGAAACTGCAACTATGAATTATTTCAATTAATTACAGAAAAGCATAGATCTAAAGCCACAGCAAAAACTTTGTATTAAAGCATACCATATTATATGTTCATTATGTAGATCTACTCACGTGGAGTCCAACAAAATTGGATTTTCCATTTTATGATTTTTCTACGATTTATTATGATTTTTTAAAGATTCAGCCGAAATAAATAAAAAAGAAAAAAAAAAAAACCGCCTTCAAAACTGCTTATAACAGGGTCAGGGAGGTAAGATGAACGGTTTCAAAATTGAGGGAGGTGTTTTGCCCGATTTTAGAGTTCATGGAGGAAAAGCGAACTTTCGTGAAAGTTAAGAGAGGTAATGTGGACTTTTTACAGCCTAAAACAGATGCACGATTGTGTTAAGAATTGGCCCACGTATGGATGTTCAGATCCATTTTCCCATCCCGATCCAATAAAACAGATGCGAGGACATGGTACTAGATGGCAGAATAATCCGTTTCCGTAGCCCTTAAGAGTAAATTATTATTTACAAAATCATTTGAATAGAAATCGATCTATATATCTTTCCATCGTTCAGCAGCTTCTTTATATCTTGTACATACTCTAAAGAGCCAACTCCGCTCTTCAATTTAGGCTAGCGATAAATTCGAAATAGAGGATGACAATAATAGGAGATCTAAGACCAACTCTAAAAGTATTTTTATATCTTCCCTAATTAATATGATGGAGACCGTGCGGCAGGCTCGGCAAGCAGTCACTTTGAATATGAAATAATTAATATGATAGAAATTTTGATAAAAAAGGCCATCGAACAGCTTCTTTAATCAAATCTCCAAATATAGTCATCCTCTATTATAAATTTCTTGTTACTTAAGATGGAGAGCGGGGCTGACTTTTTAGAGTGCTCACAAGATATAGAGATGTTGTTGGAGGGTAAAAAGATATAGATAGTGATTTTTATTTAAATGGTTTTTTATTCAAATGATAATTTAGATAGTAAATTTAAGAAGACTCTTGGAGATGCTAACCGCAGTAATGGATGAAGCCATCAAGGCATGCCCCATGTTCTCTTAGAAACAGACTCAACAATTCTAGTAGATGCTCTCTAGTCCAATACCTATGATTTCTCGGTTGCCAGTATTCTTATTAGAGAAGCAAAATTTCTTATTTCCGTAAATCTTGTTCAAGTTTATGTGGTCCATGCACCAAGTTCTTGTAATGAGTGTGCACATGAACTCGCTAGTGTTGGCTTCGTTTGGGATCTAGATCGATCGCATGATTGGATTGATCATATCCCAGAGTTTGTACATTTTTGGGTGGCTCATGATTCAAGTGAACCTCCGATAAGGCAATAAAATGGGTAATCTGATCTAAAAAAAAAGAATACCACAACAGACGCATGCCTTGTTAAAAGGCTAAAACCCAATAGGAAAAATATAGACGAAGATTGTGGGGGAACCCGCCACGTCAGTTCATCTAAACCGAGTGTCATCCACTTGACCAAACTCAATTTAAGTGAAATAGCGTTGCGAAGCCCCCCAGGAGCGCACGTAGCAACTCCTCTTCAGGATCTTTACGCTGAGTTACACACACATACCCGATACAATGCATACCGGACAACTCGATCACATACACACTCCGGTCCACGTCATTCTTAAAGCTTGTCGACAACAAAATAGGGTTCAAGAGTATATATCATTTCCACTAAGTCTAATGCTCCGGGCAGCTCTATTCGTACACTGGGTTGCCGCTCTTGTCGCTTGTCTAGTCGTCGAGTTACACGCAGTTCATCTTGGAAGACGCCGTTCCAAGGTCAGCTAACCGCTGCCTTCTCCGAGACTAGACTCGGGAAGAGACCCTGGCTACCTACAAAACAACTTAACGACTGCACCGTGAGTACATTGCGTACTCGCAGGGCTTAATTCTAACATATAATATTTGGTGGATGCATAGGGTAATTATCAGGCATTTGTATAAGTGCGGAAAACAATTATGTTCATTAAGGATATGACATGCTATGGTTGACATTAGAATTAAAGCATTTATCATTATAACAAAGGTGCTCATAGTCCATCAATCATACTACCATGGGTATAGAAAGAAAGAATAACCGATTAGTCCGTCCTGAGGGTAAGACTCTGCAGATGTGTATAACTATACCAATGCGGAGAGACGGGATGAACCTCCATACACCGGGCCCGGTAGTAAGGGTTGCCTCACGTTCTCCAACCTTTCCCTAATTCGGCCCGAGTGTCCGATGAAAGATTCGACTAGTTCCTGGACAATGTACCAAACATTCTCGACCGACGCCACCCCCTTGCTAGTTTCACGGATAAACAGGTCGCAATTAGTTACTTGGCTTGTCGACCCCATCCGCGACATGTGGTCTATACGGGTGGTTACTCGGACTTACATATCCCAATAAACGGTCCTTATTGCTCCACGAGCTATGTCGTCTAAGATCCCACACTCACGACGACCTACCCCCCGCATGAGCAAAATATCCAGGTTATCATCATGATTATCACATTAGGGATATTATTCCTTAGCTAGAGTAGTAAGGTGAGTCAAGTTGTACCCTCATTGGTTTTAGTAGTTAGTTATCCAAGTGTAGCATCCTACACACGCGAGTATTAGTTCCCTTCTCATGCTCGACTTCTACCGTTGCCCAAGCAAATAAACAATAAGCGTTAAGCGTTCCCATTCCTAGTGTTGGGGTGAGAGGCTTCTAATAGATTAAGAAGTGATTCTAGAGGTATAGTACGAGAGATATCGTTATCCAACTGTACATGCAATGCATAACTCATAATGTAACTTGGTAAGTATCCAAGGTAGGGTTCATAATAGTGGGGTGCCTACCTACTAATGCTGTCGATCCTGATGACTCCAAGTCAATGGTGACAACTCCACACGATCCTCATGAAACGGGACATTCGAGCCTGAAAGGAGAGGATCCGAGGATTGGAGACAATCACATGATAGATAAGAAAACTAAGAGCTCTACTTGGGACTTAGGAAGAGACATCTATTGTTGAGCTATTGCTATAGGATGCGACCTCACATTGGTGACCTATTGGGTATACTTGCTAACTAGCCTTACACTCTTTGTGACTAACGGACACTCCATCCTACTGACAGACACTCCGCAGTACTAGGTACCGAGGTGGGTTATCTCTGGTTGACTCTGCTCAAGCTCTAGTGGATGCTCCATGGGAATTGTGGAGACTTTGATAGGTTTGGGACTTAGTCGTTTCTAGGGTTCACTACTGACATTGGATGGTTCGAATACTTGAAG